GTGGGGTTTGGGGTATTACAGGCCAAATCAATACTAAACACGGTAGTGTAGGTGGGGTTTGGGGTATTACAGGCCAAATCAATACTAAACACGGTAGTGTAGGTGGGGTTTGGGGTATTACAGGCCAAATCAATACTAAACACGGTAGTGTAGGTGGGGTTTGGGGTATTACAGGCCAAATCAATACTAAACACGGTAGTGTAGGTGGGGTTTGGGGATCCAGGCCAAATCGCATGCCACGCCCTTCCAACCAGGAGCACACAGACAGGCCCCGTTGAAGCCATGGCATCGGGCTTCGTTCTTACATGTGCAGTTTTTGTCACAAAACGCACCGTATTTTCCATGTGGACAACCGGCAAGTTTGAAAGCAACTTGAAATGTGCCATTCGTGCTTCCGTATGGACTAGGAGCCACTACATCCGTAAATGCATATTTCCATGTGACCGGGGTATTTGTTTTAAGTACGCCACGGGTGACGAGAAAAAAGTACCTGTATTCCCTATCATTGATCCACGTCGGATCTAAGCCTTTGGCAGCAACAAGTTCAGTGAAGTTCATAATGATTTGTAAATCATTCCCGTCCCTTGCTGAAATTCTGTCAATCACAATCAATGATACCTTGTTTTGCCCTTCCTCTGAGTATTGCGTCAGATTTCTATAGCGGTTCTTAAAAAAATGATGCATAGTTCCCACATCTCTAGCATTGCTCATTCCGAATGTAAAGTTCACTTCACATCTGTCATTTTCCAACCTGAAAAACACTCTATGCCTCCCGATATTGATAATATCGCCTGAGTCTTTATATTTGATTCCAATGCTTGTTGACAAATCTACTGAGTAGTCAGTAAATTCTACCAATCGAGGTAGACCTGAGGTCCTTTCAGGGGTTTCACAAGTTTTGTTGTAGTATGGAGGGTATCCAGACACGTCCAGCACATGAACAGTCAGGTTCCAGATTTTAATCTTTTCATTGAAGTTGCGTTCGATGCCAATAAGGATTTGTAATTTGTAAGTCGACTGTATTTGATAATCCAATGGATTGGCAATTTCAATGACACCTTGACTTTCCGCCATCCTAAACCTCTCGTAATCATCACCACCGTGTAATCTGTAACTAGCCCTTGCCAGCTGCAAGGAAGTGTTGTGACGGGCAACAACTGTTCCTACTGCGGCGTTTTCGGGAACAAACACGGTTGTGTTGAAAGACGCTGTTCCTCCAATGATGCAGAATAAAGCAAAACTTAACGGAAGGCACATCATGCCGGAGAACCGTAGGTCAACCATTATCAATGCTTGGAGAACAGGAAATCTGAGATGGATAAAACAAGAACTAATCAGTACATCCAATAACCTATAGGTTGACAGTAATGTATTCAAAACTTGTACCATGCATGAACGAAACATCAGCTTTGACTTTCTGTGATCCGGAAGTTCCGCTTTTTCGAAGCAGAACTATACTGTACACAGCAGCAATTAATCATGGCAGAAAATCGCTCATTGACATTAACTTTCCTGCCTTTAAAACAGGCTTGATATATTATTGGTCCAGCGCGAATCTTAAGGATGGGCGGACAAAGTCCAAATTATTGTTAGATGGTATATATACCTGTAGCTATTAATCGTTCTACATATTCGGCTCATTCGTCTACATTTGACTGACGATTATAGATGGAATTTATGAGTAGCATAGTATGTTAGCATTACCCCTGTCGCCGAATCGCTTTATAAGAGGCCGAAAAGCTGGCTCTTCCCTTTTCTGTATTGATGTGCGTTTAAACATCATAAAAAAGCCATTATGATAGATACGTTTCTACTCACCAGTTTGAAGATTACTATCGAACCAACAACAAAGACGGAATGCACCCCGTATTGTTCAGACGTGTGTGTGTGTGTGTGTGTGTGAGGGGGGGGGGGACTTCCGGAACATTCCATTCAGTTTATGGGGAGCCGTGCATCCAGTAAAAAAGACACACAACACGAGTACGAGATGTGCAGAAATCTAGATAACGACTCAAGGGAATATCTAACCCACTGGCTTTACTTTTTACTAAGGGTATTCCTAGATCCTAGCATGCAGTCAGTAGAACTATCTAAAGTGCAGATGAATACTGTTCTTGGAGACAGTGTGCAGTGCAGGTGTACTTAGGATGCAGAAGTGGAAGAGGTGAAATATGGAAGAGGAACATAACAGACGGGAATTTTGTAGCGTAATTGGGAAACCAGTGAGTCATACTGAGTCTAACTTTCTTTGTCCTTCAAAGCGTTGACACAGAACTAATATTGACAATTTCTGCATATTCACATCAAAAAAGAAATGAGTGAGGGTTGTAGAGGAGGACTTGGTATTTTTGCCCCGACTTCGGGACAGGTGATTCCCCGTTTATATGTAATGACGCATTATATCTAAATACCCTTTTCGCTAGCCATGCAAGTATCCCATATGTAACTTTCATTGGAGAAGAAAGATGGTCATGGATGCATTAAAAAGATACCACTTTAAATCCAACTGAACTACAGGGCAAATAAGCAAGTTCATGATGTGGGTGATATGTCAAAGACCCCTGGCCATTCATTATGTGTTTCCATAATCCAGGAGCCTTGAACTTTGGCATATTACCCACAATACATTACACTGCACATGAGTATCTCAAACTATAAACAAGCTAAGCTTATTAGCTAGATACTTCTATCTGCCATATTTGCGCCTTATCCAATGAGGATTACTTTATCTTATTCTGAACAAAAAGTAAGTATTGTAAACGTACGGCGATGTGCGTTACTGTTAATATTTTTGTGTTGGTAAACTTCTCCCATTCATGTGTTGAATTATTAGGAAAAGTCAATGCAAAAGGCTATAATTTATTAACACTTTATTTATTCATTATTTCTAAAAACTCTGTCGCTTCCGCACATACAGTGGAAATTGTCAATTAGGGCACAGGCAAAGAGATGTCAATATAACTAACACATACCCTTTATTTGCTACTGTTTGTATTAGCAAATTCTAACTAAATCGAATGAGGTCTTGTCAATTATCTCATATACATTTGAATTTCTATATACTGATTCTGAGGGGCGCGTTAACTGGTATTAGATACTCCCCTAAATTTTTAAGAACATGTCTCTTATGCCCAGACAACCTAGGTCTAACGTGTCATCATTATTGTCACACAGTAGTTTCCCATACACAGTGATCAAGACCATCATCTGCTTGGACTCCATCTTCGACGTTCTCGCCCAGGTCCGAAATGATCACCTCAGCTTGATCAACTCTAAAATCTGATTGGACTCCATCATCGATGGTCTTAATTAGAATCAAAAGTCTCTCTTCAAGTTGATGAGCAGTCGGTCTGTCGTCAGGAACCTCATACCAGCACTGACACATCAGTCTGTACAGGTCGGCAGTTATGGAGCACCCTTCTGGCTTCTCCATGCGGATTCCACGTCTGAGCATTTTCACCATCTTACAACAATCTGGTCGGAAAGGTCCAGGGTAGCGAGGCTCCTCTCCTAGACTGGCAATCTCCCACAGCATAACACCGAACGACCACACGTCGCTCTGACAGGTGTACTCTCCATCCCTGAGAGTCTCCAGCGCCATCCACTTCAGCGGGAGTAACTCATCCCGCCCGTGCTGATTGGTCCGCTCGTACACAGTGTTGGTGTAGACGTCTCGGGCCAAACCGAAGTCCGCCAGCTTAGCGACCATTTGGTCTGTGATGACCACGTTCCGGGCGGCCACGTCGCGATGGACAATCCTGACTCGTTCTAACTCCTGTAGAGCCTTGGACACATCGACGGCGAAGCCGAGCAGAGTGGCCCAGTTCACCGCATCGATGTCGTCTCGGAGTCTCGTCAGGTTTCTCTGAAGGTCTCCGTGAGGGGCGAATTCTAGTATTATTCTTTTCGGGTTAGACAGGGTGACCACGCCGTACAGCTGTATGATATTTGGGTGCATAACTTTGTCCCCTCCCCACATGTATAAGGATTGGTCAAAAAGATGGACCAGTATGTCCACCTCACGATAAAAGTCCGCATATACATCATCTTGGTTGACGTTGAGATTCAATGATTTGACGGCTACTCTTACAGGCAGTTCTCCCTGCTGTTGGAAAGTCCCTTCTAAAACATGGCCGAATGTCCCAAGCCCGACCAACTCACCAAGAGTCAGGTACTGTGGGTCTCTTTCCCATGGTACTAATGTCTCTGGTAAATTCGGTTGTTGATTCTCTGCTAAGTACGATTGTTGATTGACATCGAGAGGTTGGAGTTCCTCGTGGATTGTTTGCTCACGTTGCTGTCTTAGAACTTTTTTTCGTCTCCCTCTTCTTATAACAATGCAGGCAACTATTACAAAAAGGACGGGAAGGATGAAAACGAGCATGATCAAAAATCTTGAAGTCTGCTCTGCCGTGTAGACTGAACCTCTTGGCTTTAGGCTTTCGCAGTATTTTCCAGTCAGGCCCGGCGGACAGATACAAGTACCGTTGAAAGGACTGCACTCCGCACCGTTTTCACATCGGCACTGTTCGCAGTTTGTCCCGAATGTTCCCGCAGGACATGGCGTGTCACAAGTAGGACCTGTCCAGCCGGCCTCACATACACACCCCGTCCAACGGTCACAGCCAACGTTATGTAGACAGTCGCACGGCCTGTCACAACGCTCCCCGTGAAGACCGGGAGGACACTCCATCACCTCTAAGACGTAGTTTCTCTCCAGTATCTGTCCATCAGGTGTGCCGGCTTCACACGTGTACACACCGTTGGTCTCTGGTAGAATCGGCTGGATGGAAATGTTACGGGAAGTTTGGATAAAAACTTTGGAACTGTTGTTGCGAGATGACCGAAACCACCACGTCATGGACGAGACATTGATATGGACAGGGCGGCATTGTAGGGAAACACTCCCTGTTATATACATGTTTCCTTCTGGTAGAACGTCAATAGCGACTGCTGGAGTTGGTATATCGCATGCCACTCCCTTCCAACCAGGAGCACACAGACAGGCCCCGTTAAAGCCATGGCACAGGGCTTCGTTCTTACATGTACAGTTTTTGTCACAAAACGCACCGTATTTCCCATGTGGACAACCGGCAAGTTTGAAAGCAACTTGAAATGTGCCATTCGTGCTTCCGTATGGACTAGGAGCCTTTACATCCGTAAATGCATATTTCCATGTGACCGGGGTATTTGTTTTAAGAACGCCAAGGTTAAAGAGAAAAAAATACCTGTATTCCCTATCATCTATCCACAGTGGATCCAATAGTTTTGCCTCAACAAGTTCAGTGAACTCCATGAAGATTAGTATATCGTTTCCATCGTTAATTGCAGATGAAATTCTGTCAACCACAATAATCGATATCTCGTTTTGCCCTTCCTCTGAGTACTGCGTTAAGTTTCTATAGTAATTCTTCCAAAAGTGGTGCATAAGTCCCACATCTTTAGCATGGCTCATTCCGAATGTAAAGTTCACTTCACATCTGTCATTTTCCAAGCTAAAGAACAGCCTACGTCTCTTCATATGTAGAATATGGCCAGAGTCTTTAACTTTGATTCCAATGCTTGTTGAGACATCTACTGAATAGTCAGTAAACTCTACCAATCTAGGTACACCAGAGGTCCTTTCAGGGGTTTCACACGTTTTGTTGTAGTATGGAGGGTATCCAGACACGTCCAGCACATGAACAGTCAGGTTCCAGAGTGTGGTGTTTTCAGTGAAGTTGTGTTCGTTTGCAATTAGGATCTGCAATTGGTAAGTCGATTGTATTCGATAATCCAATGGATTGGCAACTTCAACAACGCCTTGGCTCTCTGCTATACTAAACCTCTCGTAGTCATTACCATCTACTAATATGTATGCCCATGCCAACTGCAGGGAAGTGTTGTGGCGGGCAACGGCTGTTCCTACTGTGGCGTTTTCAGGAACAAACACAGTTGTATTGAAAGACGCTGTGCCTCTAACTATGCAGAAAAAGGCAATGCCGAACAGAAGGCACATAACGCCAAGAGGCCGTAGGCCGATCATGTCCACGATGCTTGGACAGTAGGAAATCTGAGATGATATAGAAATAAGACCTTATTAGTACATTCTCAGAACATATACGTTGGCCATAATCTAGACAATAGCTGTAGAACAATAGATTTTATTAGTCTTACCTTTTCGTGACAAGGAAGTTCCGTTTTATCGAATCCGACGTGCGAGGTTGTAATTGAGTATGAATGAAAATAGCTCTTTTGGAAGGATATACTGAATTTGTTGCTTTAAACGAGTTTGATTTATGATTGAGCTTGGATGCAAAGATGATAAGTCCGAACCTTCATTAAGTTAATATCCCTACGTCTTTCAATAGTTTACCTACGGTTAAAAAGTAATTTGATATCAAC